CATTATAATATATATATATATATATATATATATATATATATACATATATATAGGGAGCATATCAAGTGAGAGAGAATTTATTATGAGAGATGAGAGGGTTAAAATATAATCCTTAGATTAATTTCTTCTCACTTGATTAAACTCTAAATTTTCTCTATCTATATATATATATAGATAGATAGATAGAGAGAGAGAAAGAAGAGATTCGTTTAGTCTAGGAATAAGTCTAGGTAGATTTACTCTGTTTAATAACTCATGTTTTACATCAAATTACAACAATCTAACCGTTGAATTTAAAGTTCTTAATACATAGATTTAATTTACAAATTTAAAAATCATTTGATACATCGTTTCATTAATTTAAATCAATGTATAAAATAATTTTATGATTATCCGTCAATTTGGATTAATGAAATGAAGTATCAAATAATTTTTAAATTTTTTAAAAATTTACAAATTTGATCTATGTATTAAAAACTTTAAATTCAATGGTTGAATATTTAAAATTTGATGTAAAATATGAATTATTGAACGAAGTAAGTTCAGGTAGACTTACTCCTAGAGTAAATTAATCTTTCTATATATATATATATTTTTTTTTTCTTTCTAATATTAACTAGCGGGAGAAAATGTACATCGTGCCTCTACTTAAATACACCTTAATTAAAATAGTGTGTAGTTGTATATTAAAAGACTTCTAAAATTTAATAAGCTCCTTTTAATATTTTTTTCATTTTTATTTAAAGGGTCAAAAATTATAAAAGAAAAATGAATAATAATAATGTGTACATGAAAATGAAGACTCATTTATATATATATAAAGAGAGGAGAGTTATAATTACACAGGTATAACTTTTACTAAGTATTACATCAATCAATAACTTTATATTAAATGTAATTTTGTAAATCCAACCGTTAGATATTAATTTGATACTTCATTTTTGTAAAACAAAATTGACGTAATATATTCATTTCAAAATATACTAAAATATGAACACTTTGATTACCTTCAAGTTGTTGTTCAATTTTAACAAAATTTGATATACACATATAAATTGATATAACTTTCAATCTAACGATTGGATTTACAAAATTCACATTTAATATAGAGTTATTGAGCGGTGTAATACTTAATAAAAGTTACACCGGTGTAACTTTTATTAAGTATTACACCGCTCAATAACTCTATATTAAATGTGAATTTTGTAAATCTAACTGTTAGATTTAAAGTTCTTTACTCTTAGATCACATATACAAAATTTTATATTAATTCAAGATGATTTGATACTTTATTTTTATAAAACAAAATTGACGTAATACATTCATTTCAAAATATACTAAAATATGAACACTTTGATTGCCATCAAATTGTTGTTCAATTTTAACAAAATTTGATATACACATATAGAATGATATGAACTTTCAATCTAACAGTTGAATTTACAAAATTCACATTTAAAATAAAGTTATTAAGCGATGTGCTACTTGATAAAAATTACACCGGTATAATTATAACTACCTCATATATATATATATGGGGAATGTTAATGTACTCCCACCTATTTTTTAGTGGGAGTATGTTAGCAACCTACACCAAAATTTTAGGACAAAAAAACCACTCATTTCTTTTGATTTGGTTTATTTGTATAAAGGATATTATAGTAATTTAATTTAATTTTAAATGAAAGTAAAATATTTTCTCTCTCTTATTAACTTCACTCTAAGTCATTTATCTCTCCTATTAAATTCCTTCTCCTACTCATTTCTCTTTCCTATTAAATTCTTTCTCTAACATATTTATCTCTCTCCTATTAAATTCTTTCTTTAACTCATTTCTCTCTCATCTCTCATGATGTCTCTCCCCTTTTTCTCTGAACAAATAAAAATTAATTAATTAGAAAAAATAAATGAATTGGAGAATGAAGTTAATAAGAGAGAAAAAATATTTTATTTTCATTTAAAATTAAATTAAATTACTATAATATCCTTTATACAAATTAATCAAATCAAAAGAAATGAGTGGTTTTTTTGTCCTAAAATTTTGGTGTAGGTTGTTAACATACTCCCACTAAAAAATAGGTGGGAGTACATTAGCATTCCCCATATATATATATATATATAGATCTTAACTGGTGTAATAAAGCAAGTGGTGTTTGGCGAGTTTTTTTTTTCCTCCAAAGAGAACTACTATGGTATCCATGAAAACTGAAGGATTTTGGTACATTAAATTATATGAATAAATAAATTTTAAAAAATAAATTCAAAATCATAAATTTTAGATTAAAAATTTGTATAAAATAAATCAAACAAAAAGATTAATTGAAAAAAATAATAAAAAAATCAATTTTTATAACAAATTTTGTTTATATATGACAAAATTAAAAAATTTAAAACAAAAAATTATAATAATATTATAAAAACATTAAAATAAAAAAATTAATAATATAATTGAAAAACTAATTTATACTATAAATTTTAAAAAAAAAAATTATCACC